TTCATCCAGAATTGTAGAGTACTTTCAACTAGTTGAAATTTTCTGGAATCAAAGACAATCATTACTTTATAAAATTCAGCATGTTTGAAAATCTTTTTTCAATACTTTGATTCATAATAGTATTAAGGTCTTAAACTTGAAATTTTTTAGGATTTTCTTATGTACCTTTGTCAATTGATAGTTTTTTATGAAATTTTTTTACCTTTCAATGTATTTTTTTTCTAGTAATGGTTCTCCTATTATTAGAAATCTGCATCTTCTTGTAATTTATTTTGACAGCTAACGAACAGTTTTGCAGCAGTGTTAATAAACCCAAAATCATTTGACATTTCTTTTTATGGATTTAAATGTTGTTTCTACCAAAAGCTTTAGTGTAATCTAAACCACGTAGTTTGTTGTTTGTTGTTTGTTGTTTGTTGTTTGTTGTTTCTACCAAAAGCTTTAGTGTAATCTAAACCACGTAGTTTGTTGATATTTAAAACTTTGTTTCCTGAAAGTATTTCAAATATATATTTGTACAAATGTTTGCATCAAAATCTGGCTTTTGATTTGTTTGAATTGCTAAATGAGATACTGTCGGGAACTTATAATAATTAAAATAAATCTCTTCTCTAAATATCTTTTTAAATGTCTTGTCCTTGTACCACTACCTAGTAGCATCAATACCTTACTTTTGGTTCTGCAGAGTTAATCTTTTTAACTCTGCAGAACCTTTTAAATTTATCTTTACAACTATTTAAGCATCCATTCTTAGTTAAGAACCTTTGAAAAATACAGCCCAAAATTAGTAAGCCAAAGAAATTGACACAATAAATATGACAGATGGTTGCATCCGTCATAACTAAACTGAGCACACGTACAAAGCACTATACTATGTATTTAATTAGCTCAAGCTGTCATGTTGAAAATCTTTTATATTGCCATGATATGTTACTTGCTTCATTAGTAATATCAAAATGCAACTTCTACCTCTAAGTTGTGCTTTCCCAGAATATTACTTGTACAAACAACTCTTTATTTTTTTCAGAATGATATTCGATAAAAAACAACATTTTTTCTGAAACATTGTCCGAAACATATCTTACAATGAGGGATAACTGATCTTTTTTTGATGTCTTGTGTTGTGCCTATTTGAAGTAAAAAAAAATCCATTTTCTCTGACTTTATCTAAAGTTTTCTTTATTGTCAGCTCTAAAATAATATCAATGTGACTAAAGAGCCTCTATGTTGTTGATATCAATAATATACTTATACACATTTATTATATGTTAACAATCAGGGACGGCCCTGTTAATAATAGGCGTTCCTCACCTCTGAATAACTCAGTCATTGTCATTTTTGCTTTATAAGGCACATCACGCAGAGGTTGCCAAAGGTAATTTTTAAAAAATGAATTAATGAATTTTTTTTTTTTGTAGTTGTTTAAGATGTTCCCAGAAGTCCTTACGGTCTTATCACGGAGCACCGTGTTTTATGAAGTTTGAAAATAAAAAGTTTCATTTTTCTTACACTAAGAAAGTAATTTTGCTAACTGTGGTCACTTTGACAATTCATTTCATGTTCATTTGAAATTTTTTCATTTTCAGAACGCTTAGAACTTCTGCTTGTCTTTAAATCTCATCTTTTTCTTTCAGATGTTGTTTTTCTTTTTCAAAACTTCATTTAAGTGTTTATCATTTCTGCTGATTTTAGAAAACCATCATTTGAGATTGAAGTCATCACATTCATTTTGGCCCAGTTCATCATTATCATTTATCATTGTTTGATTATGAGAGTTGGAGTTACTACATTTACCAAATCACTTTCAGATTGTGCACAGTGTAGTTCATTCATATTAACAAAAAAATTTTAACCTTCTTAGCTTTCTCTTTGCAGTGTCATAATTTAACAAACTGAGTTTGTTTAAAGTGGAACAAGATTGTTTTATTAAGATAACAAGGAAAGAAAAGAGGTGTGAACTTCCTGGTTAGGCGCTTTTCTGAAGTCCTCTGTAATAAGACCGTTAGGACATTTTGGAGCACCTAAATAATGAAAAAAAAAAGTTTTACGTCTGAAACTATTATCCTATATGTTCGCGTATAAGTCGAAAAATTTTTGTCAAATTTCCAAAATAAAAAAGCCACTTTGACTAATATACGGGTCATTAAAAAAACAAATGAATTTGTAAACAATAACTTTTAAAGAAAAGATATTCTACCGTATGTAGTTGCGTCGTATATTCAAATCAAAAAGTTATTGTCTCAAGAAATTAAAAATATCAGAACAAAAGACTTTGAAAAATGAATAGAAAGATCATTAGTTATTTCAACGAAAATATGTTCATACCAATTCATCGGCTTATATGTTATTGGTTTTTCACACTGCCAACAGGGCAATTTACTGGTATCCCGGTGGGCTCGTCTGCTACTGTTTTTCATTAAAATAAAGATGACAGAGAGTTGTATCTTATCTTTAACAATGTATCCAACTAACTTTTTTCCGCAGACTTCTCTGGAAGTTAAAAACCTTTTAACATATTTAATTCATATTTAATTATATAATTACTTAGGTACCCGCAGTTTTATCCATTTTGTTTGTATACTTCCAAAGTTATAGGCGTTACCATAGTAGTTAATTGTTTTACCAGGTAGGATTCATATGGTGAAGATAAAAATAAAAAACTATATTTGTTAATTTTTAACAAACTGGGAAAAATGTGAAGTAACTCGTTCTACTTCTGCTTTTTAATCCAAGAATTCTTTTTTAATTCCTCTCAGTTTCTGCTTTCTGTCTTCGGCTGCTGCTACTAGATTTATGGTTTGCTTTTGATATACTCAAAGCATGATGTAACTTGGAAGCTTCATTTATTAACCGTGTATTATTTACACCTAATACTTTTAAAACACTTTTCGTTCCTCAAAAAACACCGTTGAATGAAATAATAGCAGAATTCAATGATAGTTCTAAATACTTTTTTCCAACGTAAATATCCTTAGGACATCTTTTTTAAATAACACAATTTAAGCTTTCATTACTATTCTGTGTTTGATCGTAGTAGCACTTTTTTACCATAATAGTTTTTTAAAAAATTAATTGCCTTGTCTGCCAGTTTACCTTTTTGTCTCAAACTGATTTGACAAAGTTTAATATCAATAAGCTTTTTACCTTTAAGGTTTTGGATCAAGTTTTGAAAACGAGTTCCCATTTGCTTTATAATACGAGTAACAAATTCAAGTTTCTTAATATTTAATTGCTATATGGTTTTAAGGAAACTAAATCTGAAAATGAAGAGGTGTCACCCCCAATATTTATTAATATCACCCCACCATCCCCAATATATGAAGCGTATCCTAAGTTATTTCTTAACAATGACCGAAAAAATATCACTGTATTTTCTAACTGATACTTTTATATGTATGTGTATGTGTTTGTATTTTTGTATTTAAAGAATCTGAAGTTAAGTAAAATACTTTTTATGCATTATGCGACCATTTTATTGTTTGATTAATTTACTATTTTATGTTTATGTTAACTTCTCCAAGTTGAAACTAATTGACAATCAATCTTATTCGAGATTACTTTAGATATCCTACTAATATTCAGTTATGTATAAATGTAGATTTTTATTAAAATCATCTTCTTATTCCTTGTAATCCACATCTATCGAGCGAACCTCAAAAATATTTTTAGATTTGCTCCTTGAATTATTTGAATGGTAATGGTAATACTATTATCATTATCATTCAAATAAAAAAGAGTGATTGATTTAACTTGATATAAATTGATTTAACCAGAGTATATTTTAAAGTGTAGTACCCAACACCATATTTTTACTAATAGAATGGTGTTAGCTGCTACTCTTTAAAAGATACTCTGGTTATATCAATCACTCCGTCAACATTTTTTATACAACAACGGAGTCCAGCTCAAATAATGTAAGAATTACAAAGTGATGGGTTTAAGCAATTTTATTTCTAGTATAGTCTAGTATCCCTTCAGGATATTTTGATTTGGCCTTGTTCACCAACAATGTCTTCATATAACTAGACTCTAAGTTAATTTTTACGGCGCAAATGAAATCTCATAAAAGTATAATAAAAATCATAAATCTTTTTGAAAATCTTCTTTTCGTGTTCTTTTCTGACTAATCATTGATTACATTAGAGTATAAAATTTAAAATTTGGTGTATTTTATTTATTTTTTTAGTTTAATTTAGAGCTATCATAAACGTATAGTTAACTATGCTGTTTCCATTCAACTAAAGGTTCGTCTTTAAGCATTGTTAAATACTCTGAGTGTCGAATACCAAAAGAAAAACTCGGTCCGGTTTTTTTATTCAGCCAAACCTTTAAAAACAACTTTCCATTTAGCTAACAATAAACTTTAACAACAAAATCTTATGATAAATTAATTTTTAGACAATGCCGGCAAAAAGCATAGAGTTATAGAAAGCCCACCGTTACCCTATTTTGGTTGCAAAAAACATGTTTAATTATCAACAATGAACCGGATAGTTAGTATATTATGTTATGGCTAAAACTTAGAAACCAGTTTTGCCGGCCTGGCATAATTAATACCTTTTCTGGGCTGTAAGCACCTGGTCCTGGAACAATAAGTTTTTCTTTGATAAGATCACGACGCCCTTTGATTGTGTAGGCTGGTCCTCGTTTTAAATATTGATTAGGATCACAAACGGAATAGGTTCCAGGTCCTGGTGTCTAAAATAAAAATAAATCGCATTTTTTATTTATTTGTATAATATTCTCAAATTCATTTTTATTGTTTTTTGTTGCACAGTTTCTTTTTTTTAATAAACTTTTATATATTTTTTTTTAATAAAACTTTATATTTCTTTTTCAGCCAGAAACAAATTAAACTTAAAGGCATGAAATAGGTTATGGTGCAACGATCATCTTGCATATATACTCAAATTTAGTAATAACATCAATACCTTTTTAAAGATTTAACTTATACCGGATAACATGTACAATAACAAAACTACTAAAAGTAACAAAGTATGTTATAACTAAGTGTTATTGATTGTTATATATTTAAAAATAAATTAAAAATATCATAAACTTTAAGTATGATTTCATCTTAGCATATTAAAAACTTTTTTTTGCAGATTTTTAACTTGGTTAAAATGCTAGTTGTCAAAATGATTTGAAAAAGATGGAATACCTTTTGCGTATCTCCTAGATAAGAGCCAATTTTTTGTCGTCCACAAATTGAGTAAGCTGGAGCTGATGAACGTCCTATGGCTGGAGAACCAATTAATGAAGGCAATGTGTACTTATTTGGCGCTGGTGACTCATAAAGACGAGCTTCTTTAGCTCGACCACCAAATGAATAACTTGGAGCTCTAGAGCTGTGGGGTAATGGATACTTTTCAGGACTATACTGGCCTAATATTAGATAAGGAAAAATGTGCTAACTAGCGAAAGTTATATTATATTAATTACTATAAAAGATTATATTAGGCAGAATTACTTTAAACTATAAAACAGGTAAAACATACGGTAGAAGTTTCCAATCAAGGTCAATCTAGGTTACTGGGGAAAATAGGTGGCGTTTTTATATCTATTGATTAACTGTTCAATACATAAACTATTATTAGACTTATAGTTTTCATGGTTTTGTGTGGACCTTTGATACAAATATTGAGTCAATATATAAATTGTGTATTATAATATATTAATAGTATTTATTTAAAAGTTTTTGCACGAGCTTGTTAAAAATACGCTTATATTTGTAAAACTTGTTCAAACACTAAGCTATAATGTGCTTAACGTGTAATCATATTTTCTAAAATATTGTTTTCAAGTTTGACAGCTATATTTCTGTAATAAAAAAATTCTTAAGCCCTAAGTAAAGAAATTAACTAAGGGAAAGTGGAATTCTATTATAAACTTCGTACTTTAATCTTTAGACTTTTTATTTCTTATTTTTTTGGGTGACAGGAATAGTGTCGCAAAATTTTGATTGTCGCAAAGTTTTAATGTCGCAAATTTGATTGTCAAAAATGTAAAAAAGGAATAGTGTCGTAAATTGTCGCATTATTGATTGTCGAATAACAGAATAAGGAATAATGTCGCAAATGAGTTTAATGAATAGTGTCAAAAACAAAAAAAAGGAATAGTGTTGCAAATAAGTTTAATGAATAGTGTTGAAAATACAAAAATAAATAAATAATAATAACTATAAATGTGCGATTAGATAATATGTTTGATATCATACTGAAATAGCCTGCTGCCGGAGACTTCAGTACATACACCAACTATCTTATAGCCTGCGACATTATTCCGTTTTTACAATTTGCGAGACTATTCCTTTTTTTTGTTGTCGACACTATTCATTAAATTCATTTGCGACACTATTCCTTTTTTTTGTTGTTGACGCTGTTCATTAAATTCATTTGCGACACTTTCCTTTTTTTTTGCGACTTTAGGCCTTTTTAACATATTTGACATTATTGCAAAGTTCATTTTTTGTCACTATTCCTGTCACCATTTTTTAGTTTAATTTTAAACCGATTTTGTATTACAAGAGGAAAAGCAATTAAAATTTTGTAAGATTTAAATGTCTGAAATATTTATCGAAGTCATTTTAGCATGTTTATGGTAAAAAAATAATAATCTTTAGGAAAACAGACATTCAATAAAATTATACCGGGAAAATATCAAACAAACATGCATACAAAAAAAAGTGTACCAGGAAAGTATCAAACAAAGGTACAAAACAGACAACAACAAAAAAAAACAAACATTGAAACTAGATAAAGTTAAAAAGAATTAAAATTGTATATTTTTTTACATTCTTATAAACTTAAATTTTGTAAGTTCAATAATTAGAAAATAAAAATGGTATGTTGTTTTGTTATTAATATTTTTATTTTTTATTTTTTCGGGTAATTTATTTCGCCTTTAAAAGATATTTACATCACATATACATATATTGAAATTAATGGCTTGAGCAAGAAGAAGGCACACTATTCCTTATTAATAAAAAAAAATTCTACTTAATCGTAACATACAAATATATATAAAGACAAAAATTAGAAATAAAACAGAAAAAAACTATAAAAATAAAGAAATTCAAAATAACAAAAAATATATATAATTTATATTGATTCAATGTAATGTAATGTTACAGTCTCCAATTTCTTAGAAAAAACATCTCTTAAAAGCGAAAAACCAAAAGTCAAGATTTATCTCTATAGTTGATACATGCTTAATGAATAGATAAATATTACAGTAGTTATTAAATAATTTTAGGTGAGATAAGGGGTCGTTTATAAATTACGTCACGCTTCAGGGGGAAGGGGTAAATAATTTTGTGACGACTTATACGGAATTTGTTACTAAAGTGTTACGATGTTGTGACGAGGGGGAGGGAGGGGTCTAAAATGGTTAAAAACTGCGTGACGTAATTTGTGGGCGACCCCTAAATAATATAACGAAGAAAAACATTAATTACAAAGATAAAAAAAACTACAGAGTAATTAGAATTATTAGATTTTATACAACAATTAACTGATGGTTTTAGATAAGAAAGATAAATTTAATATTATATCTAATATTTCTAATAAAATTATATCTAACATTTGTCTTATATTTTTAAATATTCAAACTGTATTATATCATTATATTATCAGAGCAACTGTTATAAACTGTACCTGGAGAAGGATAGTTGTTACATGATTTATCAATTTGTCTTCCGTAAAGAGAGTATGCTGGAGCAGAAGCTTTCCCCGTTCTTAAAATGCATGGTGGTATCATGTATGCAGGACCTGGTGAACAACTTTCATGCTAAAATCAATTCAATTTTTTTATTTAATAAAAATGATTTATTTTTCATATAAAATTTATTATATTTAACAACAATAAAATGCAATATCTAGAACCAATAATAGAACACATACAATATTAAACTTAATAATAAACAAAAACGATGAATCAAATTAAATAGCATTAAAATATCATTAAATATAAAATCACAATTTTGAGCAATTATTTTGAATTTTATTCTGATCTGATTTAGTGCAACTATTTTGAATTTTATTCTATTCTATTCTGTTTAAATAAAACTAATCTAAACGTGTGTGAATCGTGATATGCGAAAAATCATTCTATTTCTTAAGTTTACTTTAGTTGACTTCCTCTAGTGATAAGCTCTTACTTTAGTTGACTTGCTCTAGTGATAAGCTCCTTATATTACTCAGCAGTATGAACCGTTTGTGAGACATCAATCTTTTTTATGTTTCCAAAGTTTCAATCGCGAATGGCCCTTGATTGGAAACGAATGCATGTTGTTTTTAAAAACTTATCTGATAAATTCCAATAATCAAACAAAATGTGCAAACTTTGTAGAGAGACCTACCAATGGTCTCTCTATGCCCTTTATACGGGACCTATATAACTTATGAATTTAGCATATGGTTAAATTTTTTTATTATTACAGAAGCAAAAAGTAAAAATCCATTTGCTAGTATATGCATGCAGTAGAAAGACAACACAGCAGTTAAACTTTATTTTTTCCAAATTTTTTCATTTCTTAGTAATATTTGGCACTATTAATTTTACAATAGTCATTTGTAGGCATTTTGATTCTGTAGAGATAAACTAATTTTGCAGCCTATTTTTTTGTGTTTAATTTAAATCTGTTTAGAGGCGACTAAATTGTGAACCAAAGTTGTTTAAAAAACAACTTCTAAAAAATACATAAATTATCGTAAAATATCTTTGCATTCAACTTTACATCCAAATATTTTATTGTTTTATCAGAATATTGACTAATCAACCTAGTTAAGGACGTTTTATGAATAATGACTAATCAACCTAGTTAAGGACGTTTTATCAGAATAATGACTAATCAACCTAGTTAAGGACGTTTTATGAATAATGACTAATCAACCTAGTTAAGGACGTTTTATCAGAATAATGACTAATCAACCTAGTTAAGGACGTTTTATCAGAATAATGACTAATCAACCTAGTTAAGGACGTTTTATGAATAATGACTACTCAACCAAGTTAAGGACGTTTTAACGAAAGATTATTGTTTTTACATTTTTCAATATCGCTTATTTTTATAAAATTTATTATATAAAAAAAATTATCGTTTAAAAAGTATAATATATATGATAATGAAAAATTGAAAAAAAAAATTAAACTTTTTTTTTAAAACATTTCAAAACGTTGTTAAGTAAAGCAGTGGTGACTGGCCCAGGGTGCTGGTGTGCAATTGCATCCTGGGCCCCCTATCTTATAACAAAGTAGGCCTCTTTGCTCAACAGATACAGTAACTTATAAATTAGAAAGTCTGCTTGTTATGTTTATTCAGTAGTTTCACGTAATAAAATGAATAAAATAGTAACAACCCAAAGTATTTTATTTTCAAGTTAATAACTTCTTTAATATAATCGCAACCGCGGGAGATTGTTACCTAAAAAAACATTTATTTCAGTAATATTTTTTATTTTAGAACAATAATTTACAATGAAATACATTTTGTATAATTATTCATGTTAATTGTGTGCGACTTCATTAATATATTTTAACTGTATATTTTTTTCTTAGAATGTACTGTTAAGCAATTAAAATTGTGTTACATCTTGTATATATAAAAAGTTACAAATTGTAAATCTTATGATTTTTTTACAGTGTTTACGTTTTCAAATAAATAATAAGTAATTAAAATGTCTAAATAATATAAATCTGCTTCCTTGAAAAAAACCTAGAAAAAACATTAATTGTTATCTACTGCCGGGTATTATCCCAAGCAGATGAAACTGCTATTCGCAGAAGTACATATGGTGTCACAATGTAAGAGTATCACAGGCGGTCAGAGTCAACGTTAAAGTGAAACAACTACAATTGTGTTGCTGTTGCAGTTGTTGCTGGTTGATCAAAAATGCCATGCAAGTAAAGCAAAAGAGGCAATTATTTTTTAATTTATATGAAAATTATTTTCGTTGGACCATTTTGTTTCCATTTGGCATCGTACGATAAAACGTTTTGATTGAATCAAATGGAAGAATTGTTCCGTCTCTTAGCAATGCTTAAACATGATGCTTTTTAATTAAAATTTTTAATGGTTGATTTATTTACAAAAGGCAAAATAAAATAGTCTTCCGATTCATCTGTTGTTTTACCATCTTCCTCAGGTTCATCATCAACAACTTTAAAAAAAAATTAAAAAAAAAATTACAGAAATAATTGATAATGAAACGGAAGATTTCGAAAATTTTGTTATTGAATTAAAATTTCCTAAAAAACGAAAAAAGACTAAAAAAAGACTTGGCTGGAGAACTAGCATCGGATGAAGTCGCAAATGATCATCAGCTGTTAGAGTTAATAATGATCAAATATCAGCTGTTAGAGTTAATAATGATCAAATATCAGCTGTTAGAGTTAATGTATTTCGAGTTTCTATTGAGTATTTGATAACTTAAAAATGACATTAAAAAATAGATAAGTAAAACATAAAGAACTTTTTTACGCACTTAAAACTATTGTTTTATCGCAAACTATCAAATCTACCAATCTTATAAATCTTTTTATATTATTCAAATGTATATTACAAAATAATAATTTTATACAGCCACCAAAATTGTAAGCAAATATTGGCGAATCTTGCATTTTAAAATACATTTTTCGACTATAAACTAGTCATCATCAGTTTAAAATTACAAAATTTTATGTATTTTAAACTCATGCGCTCAATAAAATGTAAAATCAAATTATTATTATTTTTTTTTAATTTTATACTATTCTTACATAAACCAATTATACAAAGCCATTAAAATTTAAAAAAATTTCTAATAAAAATTTCTAATAAAAATTTCTAATAAAAATTTCTAATAAAAATTTATAATAAAAATTTCTATAAAAACAATAGTAAAAAAAAAATAATATAAAGAAAAAAAAATGATTAATAATAATGACCGTGCGAAATGTGTGGATTTCCAGATTATGGTTCTTATATAATGGAACATAAAATATTTATTAAACAAAGTTGTTTCTTTATGTTTCATAATGTATTGTTTTTAATCTATAAATGCAGGGAGTTGGGGGGGGGGGAGGCAGCGAATTTAGGGGCTTATTTGCAAATTTAGAGGCTATTTTGCAAATGTAAGAAGTTAGTCTATTAAGAAAAATATATGAGAAAACGGTAAGAAAAAAGTTAAATATAGTAAAAAGTTAGATTAATGGGTAAAATGTTCATACTTAAGTGGTGCCCAATATAAATTTTCTGAACTAAGAGAATAATTAATTTATAGGGGAAAAAGGGGCAATATGGCAAATAGGGCAATATGGCTTCTCATATAACAACTCAACAAAAAAATTTAAAATTAAGAAAAATGAAAATGTATACATATCTTGAAATTTAAAATACCGATTTGTTTTATTTGAATATTGTTAGCATAATTTTATACGCATGAGTTTTTATTTTGCGTTAAAAAAAAAAATAACTCAGCTTCGGTTAATGCTTATCGATGGTGTCTTTTGGGTTTAACTTTTTGAGGTATATTTTTTTTGAAATGTGTGCTTATTTTGTGTTACTTTAGCTAGAGTAGTAAAAAGTTTTTAAAATTTCGTAAAATTGAAGACCAAAAATCCCGTCACGCGACCAGATGACAAATTTATGAACTTTGAATTTTAATTTTTACTAAAAATTTTTGCAATTTTATGTAGGCAATAAATCATTATGATAAAACAAACATACTGACAAAGTGTTATTGTTTCATGACTGATAGTTTTGCAACAACTTAGGGTTTTCTAAATATATATATATATATATATATATAACTTTTTAATTTTTATTTACTATTTTAAATAAAGTTGCAAAACATTCATAAAAAGTTTGTTTTTGTTTATTTAAACTTAAAGTAGGGTCGTTTCCACACCTAGCGTGAGTCGACACTTATCGTAGGTTTTAAATACTAACATAAATTTTGCAATAAGTAGTAATTTTTTTTTATATATACATTTTGTTTATTAACAACATCGTCATGCACTTCTATTACAATACATAGAAACCGCAATACAAAGTTACTTATATAAACTCAGTAGGTTTATTACGTCAGCCTATGAAAATGCTATTTTTTAAGTACCAGCTGTTAGAAGCGTTTCAAGTAAACCAAGATAATTTAAGAAGATAAGATAAAATTTTTTTTCTAAATTGATTTAATAAGGTGAATAAAACATGGATCATCATTAATATTATTAAAACCACTAATCATTATAGTATCAATGTAGTATTTTTGAACGTACGATAAGTATAAACAAAAAAAATGCCATTCCATACATATCGTATGTCCAATAAATAACCAACTTGGTTCTTTTTTACATAAAAAAAAATATTTTACTTAGATTCTTTTACAATCGCAAGACAAAAATATAAAACAAAAGTATGTAGCTCAAAACAAAGACTTCAATATACAGATAGCCAATTAAGAGATGCTATTGATGCTGTTAAAAAAGGTATGGTTGTGTACAAAGCAAGCAAGACGTTTGGAATTCCTTATCAGACGCTTTGTGATAAAATATCTGGAAAAACTTCTCTGAAGATACAAAACTGCGGTTATGAATCAGTACTAGGTGAACACATTGAAACTAAATTAGACGAGTGGTTACTAACATGCACCAGAATGAGATTTGCCATGTCTGTAGTACAGCTATAAGATAGTGTGCAAAAATACTTGAATTCCAAAAATATAAAAACACAATTTACTAACAACTGTCCTGCAAAAGGTTGGTTTTATGCATTTCTTCGCTGTCACGACTAGCTATCTCAAAAACGAGGTG